ATCTTTCCCCGCCCTGCAGTACTGCAGGGGGCATAATTAAATGTGATGGGGACCTTGAGCAAAGGAGGGGGTAGCGAGGAGGGTAGCGATTAAAATAAATACAAATAGACTAACTTACTAACTATAAAAAATTGTTAACTTTGGGGGCTAGCGCTAAAAACTATGCGGATACAGGATTTGCACCTATGTCATTCGGACATGAGCCAAATATGTTACTATTACAATAATCCGCATTATTACCTCTGCGAAGCTAAACATAGCATTGCGGCTGCTTAAATAAATATGGCTTACTTCGTTAGCAGCTAGCTAGCTAGCATGTAGCTCGCACATATTTATTTAGTGCAGCTAGCTAGTATCTTCGCAACCCCCCCTCCTTTGCTCCGCACCCCCCCCGCAAACCTGCCCCTGCAGTACTGCAGGGCGGGGGGACGGGGGGGGATTAGGGATACGGGCAAAAGCGGAAGGTAATAAACCGAAATAAGGCTAAAGTGACTTGAACACTTACAATTACCGTTATGAGCGGTATGCTCTACCAATTGAGCTATAGCCTCTCATACATATAAATATAACTCTCATACATATAAATAGACGCCTTGCGGCTCTATATATATATATGTATTTACGTATTTAGACTAGGCGGGATTCGAACCCGCGATTTTAGCATTGAAAGAGCTATGTCGTACCACTTGACCACTAATCCTTAAAATAGCCCAGTGCAAGTATCGCACTTGCTTCTATTGATTACAAAACAATTGCATTACTTTTATGCTAACCAGGCTCATTACCCCCCCCTCCTTTGCGGCCCCCCATCTTTCCCCGCCCTGCAGTACTGCAGGGGGCATAATTAAATGTGATGGGGACCTTGAGCAAAGGAGGGGGTAGCGAAAATGTAAGATATATTAATCATTCAGTTTTTTATAAAATTAGTACTTAGTTCCTTAAAATCTCTAGATTATTACAAACTAAGCCTATTAACGTAATATTTTCTTACGTATATTTAAGAAATATCTTAAGGTAAATTTCGTGCCTATATGCTTTCAGCACTTATTTTTGACTAACTTAGCTTTCCTGCCATGCTTATGCTATTGTATTTACTCAAGTGACGGTAACATCCCTGTAATATCCTTGCGGAGCATCACACATGAAATTAATATCAGGCACATAAACAACAGGTAAACCAGAGGTTAATAAAACTGTTATACAACTAGGTATAACAATAGTACCCCATGTTCCTTTCGTACAAAGGTTAATCCTTATTATATTCTAATTCCCTCTAGAAGATAGAAACCATACTGTCTCACGACGTATTTAACCCAGCTCATGTAACTTTTTAATCGACGAACAGTCGTACCCTACATAGTTTCTGCATCCATGAGGATTAGTCAAGCCGACATCGAGGTGCCAAACCGCGCACTCATTTTGTACACTCTTGCGCAAATTAGCCTGTTCAACTTGTTATCATATTGATTTATTTCCATCATTCACATAATGGTTCAGACTATTTCTTCATTTCTTTTTTATATGTATTTTTATTAGTTAATCTTAATGTAATATAAACAACCTACCCCTCAACAAACCCCCCCGCAAGCTTGCGGGGGTTTAGAAGTGGCACTTCCTAATCCCCCCTCCCCCCCTGCAGTACTGCAGGGCGGGGGGACGGGGGGATACGGGATTTCTATTTACCGCTAACTCAACCTTTTACTGCAAAAGCTCCAATACGACGTTTAGATGTAAATATTGAATACTCTACATTAGGTTTAGCATAACCTCTCATATTTACAGATGATAACCCTTTATATGACGAATCTAGATTTTTTAATCCACCTTTTCATTTTACTTTAAATAAAGATCTATCAGCTCTATAACGTTTAGTTAATCTACCTTTAATTTCCAGTCTTAGACCACCCATATTTTTATAATTTATAGAATTAAATATGATTTGAAATATTTTGGCATATTTTTTGGCCTCCGGGGAACCCGGGGAAACTTTAGGCTGCGCCTTAGCATTTCCTCCTAGCGAAGCTGCGCCTGCGCCTTTCTGAATAAATTTAGTAGGCGAGCCTCCACTCTTTGAGTGGAAGGAAGGCTGCTCCCCCTTCGGGGAGCGAAGCGCTCATACCCCTTTTTGGCTGACTAAAAGAACATTATAATATAATTTATTTAACAATTCAGATAAATTATTACGCTCCGCGTACGAAGCATCATTTAATATAAAACTTAAATTGAGATTTTTAAACTTATTTTCTAATAAATTTCAATCTACACTTTTTATTAAGGAAGCTTTTTCCTGAACTCTATTTATTTTAGGTAAATTTGCCTTATTTAATATAACATCCATAATTTTTATTACACGGGCATTCCTGTTTTTCAATTTAAGTGCTAATATTTTAGTCAATATATCACTATTAAGAAGAAAAGATCTCATATTTACAATATTAAACTCTACTTTTTTATTATAATACTTCATTATTAAATTATTTAATCTATATAAAAGTTTTTCTTCAAATTTATACTTATTAAGATCTAATCTTAATTTGTATTTTCTAAGAAGTATTAATTCTTTATATAGGGAAGCTATAATTATTTTTCTCCAAATATTCACATGAGATTCAGTAATTCAAGGTAATACACCACGTAATCTAAAAGGTAAATACAGATTTGATAATACCTTACCATCCTTATCTACCCTTATAGGAACACCACTCAATATTACACGTTCACTAAAAGAAATTATTTTATCAAAAACAAAATAAAAAGATTTTTTTAATTTCTTGATTTTTTTATATAAAGAGATCTTTTCTCGATTAAAAGTATACACAGTTAAAATAGCTTTAGTATTAGTATGCTTTATTTCCGCTTTACTAGCATATATTTTATTCAGAGATACAACTTTAACTTTAGAAAGTCTCTTTTTTTTGAATAAAATTTTATCCTTAAATTGTAAATTAAAATAATCTTTTATTAAGGAATTAATATTTATATCAAAAAGAGGTAAATTTTTTAAGTTATTATGATTAAAGACATAAATACTATTTTTTCATTCTTTAGATATAGGAGGGAAATATCTCGTTCTTCCTAGGTCAGAATTTTTGATCTTAAAAGGTATTAATTTATTATTATTGTTATTTATATATTTACTAAAAATTACACTAGCGGAAGAGGAGGCTAAATTTTTATTATTAGTGTTAGTGTTAGTATTATTCATCTTAAATTATTTTACTACTTGCTGATTTATATATTTTATACATAATAAAAAAAAGAAAGTTGGGTGTTAATAAAGGATTATTGTTAGCATTACTCACCTTATAGTCGTTGAACGATTTTATCTTTTTAGTAGGCACTAGCCACTAGCCACTAGCCACTAGCGAGCTACACTGTGTGCTAGCACCCACCTTATGCTAAGATAAATTTCGCTTCAAATTTACTTAAATTATAAAAGTAATTTTTGAAATTAACCCAATATATTATCAATAATTTTATTTAAGGATGGCAATGTTTATAGCTAAATAAATATGTGCGTCCTGTAATTTTTTTTTGAGCTCCTAACCTCCCCCTCCCTGCAGTACTGCAGGGGGAAGTGGTAGGGCCGAGCTTCGCTTAGCCGGAGGCTACCCCGCAAGCTTGCGGGGAAAAAAAAGGACTGCAGGAGCACTAAATTATTAAGGCTACATTGCGAAGGGTGGAGCTTGCTGAGGCTTCACCTTAGGCCTCATTTGGAGCACCCTTAAATAGAATATTGAAGGACAAACATCCCTAGCGTAGCTTTTCCAAAAATCCAAGATCTTTCCTTTTTGTATCTTGTGATCCTATGCCCCGCTTACGCGACTGTAAGATTTGTTGTTAATCAAACAGTAAGGCAAGATTAAGCCATTAAGCTTTTTAAGTAATAAACATGATTATTATTAAATTTATAATAATAACTACAAAAAATATTAGAAGCGGATTATTAAATACCGCCCTCATAAGATTTTTTTTTTACATCTAATTTCTCTATAAACAAAATCTTACCTAATTTCTTAGAAAAAATATATGTAAATTAATACATATATAATTTTTATACTGTACCCAAGGAATATAATAAATACACTCTATGAATAGCATAAAGATGATTTGATATATAATCACTATAAAAAATTGCAAACATAAATTTATAAATTTTAGACACACCCATTTACTCTTTATGGGGCCTGTGCCCCGCATAAACTGTCTTCTAACAATTGTTCCTTAATTTAAGGTTTAATAATACGATAGAAAAATAAAGGTGTTTCAATTATATCTTATCGATTACCTTTTACACTGGAAATTTTCAGAATCGTATTCAATAATTAGTAACAGTAAAGCTGCATAGGGTCTTCTCGTCTAACTAGAGGTAAACTGTATCTGCACAGTTATTCCAATTTCACTGAGTCAATCATAGAGACAGCTGTTGTATCGTTACATCATTCATGCAAGACCGCATTTAACGGCCAAGGCATTTCGCTACCTTAGGACCCTCACGCTAAGGCCGCCATTAACCGGGGGTTCCTCTGAAACCAAATTTTTTTTCAATTTAGAAAATTCGTTAACCAGCCGGCATCGGGCAGAAATCACACTCAATACTTAGACTTATCGTCTTTTTGCAAAGTGCTTTGTTTTAATTAAACAGTCGTACAACAATATTCCATGCTTCTTCCTTTTTACTCGTATTAATCGAGACTAATGAGCTCTCCTTATCCCTAAGTTACGGTAGTTAGTTTGCCGAGTTCCTTTATGATTGTTATCTCATTCACGCCTTCGTATTCTCTACTAGCTTACTTGTTTCAGATTCTAGGTACGGTTTGTCATTCATTCATTACATGGGGGGGTGTGGACTCATCTGTGTTCAGGGTACACCCTGTTCAGTTTTGTCCACTCCCCCACATAAGAATGAAAGGATACTGATCCTTCCTGCACAATTTTCACTTTGAAATGTTGGTACCTAAGTATCAAAGCAGCGCACTTCTGCGCGTTATTTTCTCATCGTCATAATCTTCAGATTATAAACTTAGAGGCCGTTACTTGACGTAGCCATAAGCTTTAGGCGAGACTCTAAGATACCTTTTAGGTACCTTAAACTCTTTTTTGTTACTCATGTCACCATTCTCACTTGAGTTATCATCTATATTTAGTTATAAAAAAAAAATCTAAGATTCACTCAACGTTCTGCTACCCCATCAAATAACATTAATAGCATATTATTACTAATGTTACATAT